TTCTAAAAAAAAAAAAGTTTCCAAAAGGGGAAGGAAGATATCCTTGATACTGACTGATCCAACAGCCAGTTAGAATGTGCTTATATGCTACACTAAATCACTGTTTATATGTTGTCTCAAGTACCATACTTTGTGTTAATTTGAAAGTGTCACTCTGTCCTTTTTAATCTATGCCTAGCATATTGCCCAATTCATTTAAACACTGTAAACATTCACATTAGAGTCATCTAAATCCCAATTGTCTGGTGCTTAGCCAAATATATATATATATATATATATATTTACTGAGTTACTATCTAAAAATTTACTCCATTCAGTGCAAAGATGGAATTTATATACCTTATATGGGTGAGTAACCCACATTTTTATCTATTGACATCAATTCCGATTTTGAAAAATTATAGAGAATCCTGCTATTTTGCTGAAGGCATCCATTTTGTGCATCAATATTGGAATATTAGTTTAGAAATAAAAGAATATTGTCTGAAAATAAAACCAATTTGTGTTGAACTCCCCATGTTGTCTAATAGCATTCAGATATTTGTTATCAGTTTTGATATGCAGAAGTTATTAAACGAGTGGAATAAAAAAAACCAAAGCTTTGTATATTGCCTAGGAAATGGGAGAGAGTCTTAATGTCTATAGCAAGAAGGTCAATGGACTACAAATTATGACATTTAGCAAAAAATTAATTTAGAATGTATTGGATTCCATTATGTTTATAAAAACGAAGGACTGTCAAAAGCAGTTAGAGATGTAATAAGGACAATTTTTAAAAAAAACAACAACAATGTTTCTACAAAGTCCTATACTTACCAGGAATGGTGAATTATATAAATATGACTGTGTGACAAGACTAACATTTTCAGAGGGTAATATTCTTTGGAATTATCTACCTAGTACATGGAATTTGACAAACAATGTAAATGAATTCCCTGTGCTCTTTCTATGACTAAAAGACTGATATTGCAGCATTGAAAAGGTAAACCGTAGCCTCTGTCTATTCAATGAATTGAAGACCTGATTATACTTGACAATTATGAGCAGATTGTCTATAGATGTGGCCTTTGTATAGACAAGTATAATGAAATATGGGATTCATTTATACATGATATAGTAGGTTAAAAATGATAGTCATATAAATGTATTAGAAATATGGAAATATTTGCATCAGATAAGTATATATAGAAGTACAATAGCTGATTACTATAATGAGATGTTCTGCTTTTCCTTTTGTCACCTTTATATTAAATTACTTTTTATGTATTTGTTTTCATTATTAATATTATTATCATCTTTGTGTTTGGCTCTTTACTATTTTGCTAATTAAAAAGCAATATTTTTTTAAAAAGTTTATGTATTTATTTAAGTAGTTAATATGATTGCCAATCCCATGGATACATTTGCACGAGATCAAAACAGATTGTTAAGTCATGCTTTGTTGAACAACATATGGAAACTTTGTGTATGGTGACCAGATATACCATTCTCTTTACTGTTTTACGTATAGATAGTCCGGTCTTACCACTGCAATTGAGCCTGGAAATTTTAGTGGTAAGTCATGGCAATCATCAAGTAAGGTCATCACATGATTAAATTGATTTTAAAATATTTTGTGATGTTCATTAAGCTAATGTGGTGGTTGTTAAGCAAATGCCATGGTCATTAAGTGAAGCCAGTGTTGGCAATCCACATTATTTGCCAGAATGTAGACACAAATGCAAGTTTCCAGCAAAAAAAAATGTAAAATGTGATAACGTAAACTTTTTAAAATGTCTATCACAACTTCAAATTGTCACTAAGTGACCAACCGTAAATTAAGGAGTGTTTGTAAATGGTTATTTTTATATTGCATTACATTGTAGGCTACTCTGAATCAGACAGACCTGAAGTTACTGGTATTGTACTGTTAGTTATATAATATACAAATTGATATTGAAAGTTCCATAGTAGCTTCCCATTCAAAAACCAATGAAAGGAGAAACAATCAGAGGTGATATTCAGCAGGTTCTGACCAGTTCTGGAGAACCGGTAGCGGAAATTTTGAGTAGTTTGGAGAACCAGTAAATGCCACCTCTGACTGACCCCACTCCCATCTATTCTCTGTCTCCAGAGTCCCAGCTGATAGGGAGGAAACGGGGATTTTTCAGTAACCTTTTCTTGGAGTGGTGTGGGAATGGAGATTTTACAGTATCCATCCCCTGCCACGCCCACCAAGCTATGGCACACACACCAATCCATGCCCACAAAATCAGTAATAATTTTTTTTGAATCCCACCACTGGAAACAATATCTCCGGTCAAAGCTTAAAACAGCAAACTACCACATATAAACAGCCATCATTTCCCCATGCCCTGATAATAATACCTAACCTGGTAATTAATGAAAGAACTGCAAGGAAAAAGTGCAAGCTCAGAGAACACTAAAAACCCAGGAAGAAAAAAATATTTCAATTTGAAATAGCAAAAATATAAAGTTAATATCAGAATACATTAATCAGGTTTAGGAATAGAAGAGGTTCAGTGAAGAATGAATGGGCACTGAATGCAGATTTAAAACCAAAGTCACCAGTATGAAAAAAATGCACTAAGTTGATTTTATGACATAAAAATAATGGATAAGTACCGTAGTTTGATGTATAATTTAAACTACAGACTTCATGAATTATACACTATCTCTTCTTTTAGTGATTTCTACTGTATTAACTAAACATTTTTTATTTAAAGCTCAACAGCGATATGTGGGTTTTGATTAAAAATGGATATAATACATATCCATAAGCTCCTAATAAGGTATTAAAATATAACAGTTTTATGATAGTTCAGATGTGTTACCTATCTGCCTACATCACTGTACCTATA